CATGACATAATGCTGGGTCAAATTCCTGGCTGCAGTTTGCTCTGATTTCTGCATAAAGCGTTTTCAGCGCTTTACTACCACTTGACCTCTGCTAAGGAGGTTAAGAGGTACCTGGGTACCACAGGGGCCCTTTACACGGGAGATACTTTACCCAGCGGGAAGACTGGCTAACTTGCTGCTGAGAAAACAGGGAGTCATGTGCTGGAATGAATCCTAGCAATTGCATTGGACCATTTATTTCTCTTGTTACATTAGCGATGTCATTATAATTTCAAGTTTAGGATTTAACTTGTGAACTCTTGGGAGAAAGGAAAGGATATACATTTTGCTAAGTCAGAAGCTAAAGTATTTGTATTTCTATTCTTAATATGCAGAGCCTATCTCAACATTTCTATATCATAGGGGATAAACAACTGCAAAAATATACAGCATCCTATTTATTTACAATATATATATGTACATAAAAATGAAATTTCCTACAATACAACACAACTGCATAGATTTGTCTTCAGAAACATAGGCATGTGTACAATTTGTGAATTCTAAACCTCTCCAGCCCTGTACTTATTATTTTTTTTTCACAGTTTGCTACAGAAATCCTTACATTAGATACAAATAAAACATTCTTTGTGTAAGTTATAGGACATTAGGATTTTCCTGATGCCAAGGGCTCAGGGGAATTGTTTAAGGAAGCACCCTGGCACCAGTCAATAAAGCCATCTCGTGGAGCTGCTGATGGAGCTGAATACATTCTGCTGTGCCTTTCTTCTACAGGCACTGGGGTGGGACTGTAGGACTGGAGGTGGGACACCACCACATGGAAAGAGTTTTGTTTTGACCAAGATGCTCGTTAGCCTTAATGTAAGGTTCAAGCAAAGAAACTTATTCATTTAAAGATAAGCTAACGATACCATTTATTGTTACTGTTAATACTCAATATCAGAGAGCGCTGTGGTGCTTATGCGTTGTAAGGCAGATGTACAGACACGACCCATATATCACCCAACCTGCGTTTGCACGTGTGACCTATTGCAAGTGGAGCATAAGCCATGGGTCGGTGTGTGGCTCAGGAAAGCAGCCCTCGGGAGCGGATGGACATCCCCATCCCTGACCTCTCAGGATGAGACCTCCCATTCTGCCCTGGGCCTGTGCATGGGCCAGGCACTACTCGCTCTGTGTCAGCCCTATGAAAGGTCTGTACCAGCGCATAGATTTGGCATTGGCCCTCTGACCTGGAGCAAGCATCACCCAGAGAGGTTGCTGCTCCCAAGATACTGTTTCCAAATAAGAATTGACAGTGTTTTACTTACTAGGCGTGTTTGCCATCAGACAGAGAGGGGCAGCTGTGTTCTGCAAGTGTAAGGGTGCTTTAGGCTCATGACTATTTTCTTTGCAATGTGCTGTGGACTAGGAGAGGCAGCAAGGCCATCTTTTAAGTGTTGGATTAGCTCCTACAATCTTATTTGGAGCCCCTCCTTCTAATTAGTCCTTCCTTGTCACTTACCACTCAATTGTTGCTATTAGGCAAATGAGAATTTTTAAGTATTTTTTTGTAGTTATTAGGAGCAATTTTGCATCCAGTCTATTACATTTGCAGTGCTCACAATAGTGATAAACGTTCTATGAAAGGAAAGCATGCTACCACCTACTAAAGTAGATACGGTACTCTGGATCCTATTAATTTAACGACAGAGAAACTCCTACAGCATTTCACTGTGCTTTTAAAATCCTAGCTAAAATGTGGGACTCATACATCGTTGGCTACAAGTTCACTATTTCAAATGAACTGAATAACAGCAGTACATTTTACAGATAACCTCATACAAATATTGTCATCCATCACTGATGTTGACAGTTACAGCAGGGTCTATTGCATTCTGTTAAGAATGTATAAACCTGATGAGAAAACAAAAAGCACGTTATTTCACGTTCATTACCACAGACATCAATAAACACATGATTCCTTTCTATAAATATCTATAAATATGATGCCAGTAAATCAGTCTAAGCAAAATTCCCTCTTTTTTTTTTTCTTTTTTTTTTCTAGAGACCCAGAAAGAAAGTCTGTTTAAAGACTCAATATTTTGGGTATCTATTTTTCAGTATCTAAGATATGCTTTGATGGTCCAGTACCTTGGGTAATTTCACTCTATGCACAAACCCAGCTCATTCTTCTCCCTATTTATCCAGTAAAACTCCAGTATACAAATAAACTGGGAAAAAGGTGGCAAAATAGCAAAGAGGAGAGAAGGGGGTTGTGATGGAGGAGATTTAGGAAGATGCAAGGAGTAGTCAGTCACCCAACAGCCCTTCAAGTCGAAGGAAGCTAGGTGCCAAAACTCAGTGGTTGGAATTTTAAACACAGGACTACAGAATATTTGCAGGGGGTGGATGGGAAGATGTTGCAGTTGTGACCTTGCTGGGACCCTATGGAACAGATCAGACCTCTAGCTCATACCTGGGTACTTGAAAGTCACTCCCAGGATCACTTCTCTCACAACCCCTGATGCAGAGAGCTGCACTGCTCATAAATCAGTAGTAGAAGACGGATAAAGGGGGCAGGAAAGCAGGAGAGCCCTGGAGCATCTTGAGGATGACAACATACAGCATTCTCAGGTCTGAGTTAGGTTTTTTGGAGTAAGAACCAGAGCGATTATAAGGCACCTCAAAACCTGAAATGCAGCCCCAGCAAGCTGAGTCAGAAAAATTGAGTGAGATGCTGGACTCCTGCTGCAGTGGCCAGGGAGAGTTGGGTGCCTGCAAAAGAGGAGCCACAGACTTGCATCCTGAGCTGCGAATATGCCTGGGACAAGCTGTGAGGTGATAGGAACCAAGCATAGGTTTTTGTCTCCAGAGGTTAAATAACACCTGGGCTCATAGGCTGTGGTGTAGACTTCTCTGTCAATAAGGGCAGGGATCTGTCCCATAAAGAAACAGGGCAGAGAGAACTGGTGACCTGCGCCATTGCAGGCAAGGGTTTGAGACTTGCTGCAGGAAAGCTTGAGTGACCTCAGCCCAGAGGTCCCAGGTAGCCCAGCAGTTTGTGTGTTAAATGCTGGGCTGGAGGATGCTTGGGAGGAAGGATACTGCACCAGAGACCTTGCTGGAAGCCTGCGAGTGAAGGTCTGAGGGGGCAGGAGGAGGACAGAATAAGGGAAGCCTGCTCTGCAGTCTAGCAGCTCACTTTGCCCAGAGGGAGGAGGCTTCCAGTTTTGTTCTTGCTACTGGGCTACTCTGAGGACTTGGGCAGCCTGCGGAGTACACTCTGCCTTATTTCTGGATCACAGTGGAGCACTGGCAGAGCTGGGTACCTCACTGTCTAGGCTGAGGTACGGACCTAGAAGTCTGGATTTAGTAGGCTTAGCTTCTGCAGCATGAACACTCTGCATCTCAATGCCCAAATTCCAAGGAAGGCCCCAGACTAACCTCTCTGGATGTTACCCTTAGAAACCAACTTTCAAGGTCCTGAGAAGTGCTCTGCAGTCTCAACTCACAGTGACTTCAAGCTGTGTAGGACAAGGCAATGGCAACTTAGGCAATTCAGTAGCCCACAGAAATCCAAAGATCCCAAATTCTCCATCCCTAACCTAAAAAAGAGCAAGCTGCAATGACAGGTTCCCCACAGCTGATGACATTCTCCTTCCACAGATACAGCAGGATTCGGCAATGAACCAGCTACTAGAAACAAGAGGACCACTGCCTACTGACAGGTACAGCTCGAGCACACCAAGGACATCGCTCAGCCCTTGGGTGTGAAGCGGGGCTCCTTTTAGCCATCAGTTCTTTCGGGGGGAGCCGGGTTCATATTTTGAGACACTTTTTAGCTTACACAGTGAATGACACGAAGTGAACATGCTTATGCTGCTGGCAGTGCACTAATAGAAGATGTCTGCTTAGGATGGTTAACGATCACCTGCTTAGCGTTTGAGTCTACAGGTAGGTCTCTACACCAGCTATAAGGCATTAGGCAAATACTTGTATTTTGGACAACAGATGCAAGTTACAATGTTTCTGCTAGTAGTAACTGAATACCATTTTTTTAATTGTTATGGAGAATTTATGAGAAATGTAAATGAAACATTTAAAATATAAAAAGTGTTGCTGTTTGTTTAAAGAAATGTTACAGTTTTCAACTGCCATTAGAAATCCAGTAGTTTGGCAGAGTGAGTCAAATCCTGCTCCTGCTGCTGTCAAAAATCCAACCCACTTCAGTGGGAGGAGGAGAAGACACAAGGAGGCAGTCTCTACAAGGTATGTACAAATGAATCCCAGAACGGAAAAGGTGTGAAGTATGATTAAATGTGTAGGTTTTGATAAAATAAGCTTGCGGGGGTTTTTTGTTTTGGTTTGGGTTTTTTGTTTTGTTTTCAGTTTTGGTTTTTTTTTGAGAGAGAATTAGGGCATTGGTAAGAAAATGCAGATTTCCTAGGGGAACTTCCAAGGATCTGCTTCTCTTCAGGCTCAAGTACTCATGGCGTGGGGTCAAGTCTAGTTCTGGTCAGCCTCCAGCTGAAGTCTGCCAGGGGGATGGTGGCTGGTGGTGGTGGCTGTCCTTCTGTGCCCTGCACCCCATCACAAGGACACACAGGCACACAGATCTGTTCCCCAAGCCCTGGGCTTGGCTCTCCAACCAGAACAGCAGAGAGGAGCACCAAATTTAGGACCTACATTTATACAACGCTTATTTATGCTCTTGTGGTGCTTCTTATGTCTGTATCCAGAATGCTATGCTTAACCCAGTGAGGCAAATGGTGCATGAAACAGCAACAGAACAAACAAACACACCAACAAACCGGATGCATACAACTGTAGAGAGCAGAGTTTTGGCAAGAAAAGAGAGGGGGAAGGGTGTGAACTGACATCACTCCAGTTGGGATTGATAACAAGAGGTGCTGCTGCCCTAAACGAGCAGAACTCATGGTTGAAGGGCTAAGGATAATAACGGAACAATGCAATTCATGGGTGGAAGAGGGGAAACAAATTAATTGTGATGAATTTCTATGAGCAATGCTCTATATGGTCTCTCAGACAATTAACACAGACTTTAGGCTGATCTGATAACTCAGTATCAGGGGATAGAATGATATGCCTGTTGGAAAAATGGGTCTGTTTTCTGCAAGAAAATACACCCATAACAGTATTTTCGGTACTGGATAATCATTATTTGGATTTGATTTGAGTAAACTCACAAAAGATGGAATAGATAACAGAACGGATGGTTGCGATTTTGGTGTGTAGCAAACAGGGACATCTTCTTTTCAGAAGGTGAACTTCAGTGGCCTTCGGCACTGCCTCCTGATTGTACCCAGTCATAGATAACCAAGGGAATGCTCACTAGGGAAAACATTATCCCCAGTGCCAAGAAAAGAGAGGCCTGGAATAAAAAGGAGAGAAAATTAATGAATAAAAAGAAAAGGCAATTAATTCAAGTATGTTAACTTCTCCTCTTAAGGAGATTTACAAGGTGATATATCAAAGTTACCAGTTAAAACAGGATAGCATGTCTGGTAAAGACAAGACCCATAGATATTTAAACAGATTAGCGTCATTAATAATTACTAGCTGAACACCAAAACCAATTTTTTTCTCCTTTCAATTCACTTCTTAAACACTGATCATCCCTAAAGAGGATTAAGCAAGTCTGTTTTTAGGACCGATCAGCTCTGCTCTTTTCAAAGCCTCATGGAAATAAATACACTCTTCCAACCAGATATGTGTGCATCAAAGTTCAGCTTTTTCGTCTTGGGGTCTGTGGATGGAGTCACAAGTGAAACATGGGTTTCCTGTCTGTCTGCTCCTACAAAACCTTTCCAAGGCCCATTCCCATCTGCTTGTGCGTGCCAAAGGTATAATGTTTCAGCTGGCTGCTTCTGGTGGAAGCACCTCAAGTCTGAATCGGGTCCATTAAAACCACGAGGAGCACTGCAGACAGAGCACATTGCACGATTTCTGGGTCAACACGCTGAAAAAGAGAAAGGTTGCTGGTCTGAAAGGGTTGCCAAAGGGGACTGGAGGGATACCTGCACCCTGCCAACAGCTATGGCTGCAGCAGAGCTGCTGCTCACCAGCCAGGGGAAGAGCCCCTCGCCCCGCAAAGGAGGGCTCCCCAGAACACAAGGTGTCCTGCAGGGTTTGGCAACTCTGCTGTGAGACCCTCAGGGTAAGCAGAGGAGAAGGACGAGCACGGCTGCCAGCTGACTAAAGCAAGGAGAGAAAGTAACATCATAAAGCTCCACATATGTTCAAATTAAGTACATTTTGCATCTAGCAGATTATAAGGAATGACAAGATGAAAGTACTGTATTGATGAGAAAGGAAAGCATACCCAAATCCTCTGAGTCAACTTTGATCCATCCTGCTGTGTAATTTTTAAATACAACGATGAAGGAAGAATGAAAATCAGCATATTGGCAGAAGTGACCCCTGCAAAAAACAAACAAATGACTTTTGTGAGCTCTCAGCAACAGCTAATTATTGCATTGCTGATTAGCAAGTCTTTTATTAGTAGTACAAAACCAGGATACTGTACCTACAACTCCGAAAATATCCTTCATGGATGGGATAAAAATGACTAATAGGTTGATGATAACCAAAAGAACAAAAGTAACCAAAACGTGACGGCATAAGTCAAATTTTGTTTTTCTGGCCAGCTCAAATAATGATGAACGCACCTGTAGGAAAAGAGAAAGAGTTCTCCGTCAGCAACAGTCTATAAGCCACTTCAACACTTTCCATGTTTATTTTAACCAGTTCTTCATGCAACAAGAAGTGCTGCATAGATCCACCAGAAATTCTGAGGTCTCTGATGTAATGCCCTTTCAAATAATCCTTAAAATTAATTTGCTATTTTAAAACTGTAAGTACACATCTGCCGTAGGATGTTGCTCCTTTTCTAATATGCCTTTTGAGGTCCTTCTGCACTTAAAAATGAATTTCACCTCTGAGCCTGCTCCAGTGAGGTCATGTGAAGTAAGAGAGGGCCTTTGTGAATTCAATTTAAAACAGATTTAAGACCAAAAGGGACTAATTTATTTCCTGCAGGGAGAACTCCAGAAGTTAGTGGGATTCTTGTGTGGGAAAACACTGATCCAAGCTCAGGACTTTTTTGTGTAGCTGCAACATCACTGACTCAGCAACTGCTGGACTGTGGTTTGAAATGCACACCGTGCACAGCCGCTTACAGCTGGTACCGACTTCCAAACCGTGTGGAGCTTTTTACTTACAGTGAAAAATAGCACCGGCACCGTGAGTATCACTGCAACAATCACAGCCAAGCGCACGGTCAGGATGAGGATGTCATCTTTGCTCTGGTACTTGTGAAGCAGATTTGACTGCACATCGTCTATGGAAAAGACAGTAAGGTAAGTGTTCTGGCAAACAGGCGATCCGCTCACAAAAATCATGGCTTAACAACAGCCTTCTTGTACAACAAGTGATTTATCTGCAAATAAAAGAGTATGGAATGAAACGTTCTTGAGTTAAAACAGTGCTCTGAACCAAATCCTAATGATCCCATTATTCCAGATTAATCCTTTGGAGACCTGATTTAGGAATGCGTCCTAACTCAAGACAGCACATGCCCAAGTATAAGGTAATTTTCACTGTAGGAAAGACAACAGTGAGACATACACGAAAGCTTGCTGACATAATATACATATATAAAAAATAAGTAAAGTGAAATAAGCTATTTCTAATTGGTTCTGTGGGATTTATTTTTTTAAAGTTTCAAATGATATAAAAATAACCACATGCACTGCAATGGCTGAACTTAATATAAACTACAAGGTTTTGAGCCAAATTAATCTAAACAGCAAATAAACTTCCAGCAAAAAGCAGTGCCCCTGTTCTCAACCAAGAACAAAGCCTATCTCGGGTCAGCTCTCAGTGGGGCGTTCTGACATTTGCAGTCCAAACCCTCAGCAGCTCCTCCGAGGGCTCCCCTGATGGGTTTTTTTCTTGAACCTGCCACCCCCCACCCCAGCAGCGCCTGCAGCTCGGCCCCCGCACCGGCTGGCGGCTGCAGCAGCCAAGACAAATCACGGGGGGGTGCCTAATGGGGAGGTGCTGGTGATATTTTAACGTGACCTCCTGCAAAAAACGTTTCCTTGAAGCTGTGATAAATAGCGCAGAGCAGGTCTGCATGTGCTAACCAACAGGAAAACCATCTTGCTGAGGAAGCTATGTGTTTGCTTTGTAACTTTTAAATATCTAGAAGCAATAACCTAAGGGGATGGCTGTTAAGCACAGCCACAGAAACATACTCACTGCCCCTTTTTAGGTTAATGTTTTGTTTCTGCTGCTATTCTTAGAAAGCTTATGGTAAAAGGTAACAGCTCTTAAGTCCTTAAAGGGAACTTGATGGCCACATCTAGTTCAAAATCTTTGGCACTTGGTAAAACCTTATATATTGCTGGAGGCAGAGGGATCTGTTCTGTGACAAAATGCCTGTGCTCCCCCCAGGACACCCTTCTGGGGAGAGACCATGGGTCAACACCACCTACGCAGTGTTTGAATCCCCACCAGGAGAAAGAAAATGCTCTCCCACCTCCCTGCACATTAGGAGTGGGGTTTTCAAGCCGGGCACATGCACAGCTTCTGCAACACAGAGCTTACTCTGCTCCTGCAAGCACAGACTGCAACTTCTGTACCGCTCACGGTCTGCAGCCAGGTAGGAAGTGAAGGGCAAGGCTTACAGTTGAAGGTCTGTTTTCCTTTCAGCTAGATACACCACAGAGCCCAACCACAGTGTGACCTTTTAGGGGAAGAAAAACACCTCTTTTCTGTAATTCTGCAATGTAAATATAGTCATCACTGCAACACTTTCGAGAATACAGCAAACAGACAAGTACTATTTGTGTAAAGAAATGGCCACAGTAAAAATGCTGTTCTTACCCAGGTAAGGGTAGAGAAGAGGGTTAGAAAACTGTAAGCAAACATATGCAAGGTAGGGTCTTGTCAGTCTCAAGGGGAAGAAGGATCAAATCGGAGGAGTTTTATATTCCCTCGGTGTCTTTCTGGCTGCCTGTGGTGGCACTGACCCTTGCAGCAGCACCAGCGCAGCTGCACAGCTTCCACCCGCGGGCCCTCAGCGCTGGTAAGCAAGGACACCTGATGTGGGGAGAGGCACACGAGACACCCCAGGGATTTCCTCCGCCATTTCCCCTCGGGAGGGCCAGAAGGACGCAGCCCCTACCTCCTCCATGGACTCCAGACCCTCGTCCTTGAGGGGTGTGGGAGATGCCCAGAGAGGAGCGCCACGGATCTGCCTCCTCAGATCCCTGGGGCAATCACATCAGAATCTGCTCCCTGCCAAAGCGAAGGGGTCCGCGCTGATTTACACCCACTTGCTCCCTGGGGCTGCTAATTTGATGCATTTCTATGAAAAATGTGTTAGATGGGAGCAGTTGGATGAGAACAGCTGTTGCTGTAGTCACTTGCAGCGTATTTGCAGTTTGTTGGGAAAATTAGAACAGATGACCTCAAGTTACTTCAACGCATGCAGACTCAAGGCCTCATAATCAGAATGAGAGCCTGAGAAAACAAATAGGAGATAGGTACACCTTTGGAAAAAAAAATGCCACATTTCATATTTACTTATTTTCTTTCTTTTGCAATACGTGGCTCACAAGGAATGGTATCATGAATGAGGAGATTGTAACAGAAAGGTCACTTGAAATAGGGTGGAGAAGACTGATGATCTTTTGGTGACTCTGGGTAAAAGGCAAACATCAGTTCTGTCATCTATCTTGTAACCCCTTAATGGTCCATGGAAAAAGACACTGCTTTTCAACATTCCCATTACACTGGAACATGGGAGTAGCTTCCTAGGTAACATTCATATTTTATCCTACTTTACTCATTAATTGTGCCTTTAGGGCATACATGTTGTGTCGTTTAGCGATACAACATAATTTGTTTCTTTAAGTAAATTGATATGTGTGAAAAGAGACAAGGCACCAGTTTTGAACACTGAAATAACCATCCTTTGGCAGCTGAACTGGGACAACCCTCGAAGCTTCCCCACCTTCACTGCCAGTTTATTTAACCGAAACCGGAAGGGGTTAGCTCTAGGGACACAGGGAAAACATGTGGTCCTTCTTCTCTATGATGAGAGCCTCAATAAGAAAACGAAAAAGCTGTGATGGCTGATTTGATACCCATTTCCTAGGACCTGCTCTCAATTCTGGCTCATTTTATGCAGATGTGAACAGTTCAGTCATCACCAGTGTACACGAGTGAGGACCTTGGAATGAAAATCTTAGTGGGGCACAGCTAATCCTCAATTGTGTTAAATAAAAGTGTCCCTCCTATTCTGAATAGACCTTTCGTAAATACTGCTTTCACTTGTGCTTTTCATTCATGTGGGGAAAGTAGGAAAGGATATGTACCTTCTATATGAAAACATTACGGAAAATTATATGAAAAAGTATTTTAATATAAGTGTATGGGACTTTCCTTTCCAGCTGGGATACGCTATTGATTTCACATGTATTCCCTTTCTACTGTGATCAGTAAAGAACTGCATACTTACCGTAGAAAGTCAAATAGCCAAATATGGCAGTCATAAAGTACATCACAAACATGGCAAAAAATGAGATATTTGAAACCAACTGCATTTTTTTCTGTGAACGGCTAGAGAAGGAAGAAAAAAAAACATAAAAATGGTTGGACTGGAGTTTTCAATAGCTTTTAAAAAATGTTTTAAGTCCTTGCATAAACATCATAATTCTGGGAAGACTCATGAATGCATTTTCATTTAAACCAGGAATTCATTGACAGCTGCACGAGGAAGAGAAGGACTGGGGAAACGGACCCTACTTGGGGCTAAAGTCCAGAAATGGTGGGACTGCCCTGTAGCTCTGCTCCCTGGCTATTCCCACCTAAACAAAGTGAAGAGTGAGGCCAAGTGGAGATGTACAGCTCTTAAACACGTCAGTAATTAAATTAAGAGGCCAAAATAAAGGAAAAGCAAAATTATACACAGAAAAAAAACAAAACCCAAAACAACATTCTGAATGTTTGCAGAAAAACATTTGTGTCCCCATGCTTAGAAAATATTAATTCATGCAGACCACTACAGACCTGTAAAATATGTTAAGTGTAAACATTTCATTTTTAGATATTTATTCTGAAATATTCCCACTCCAGTACTTAAACTTATGACTTTTAAATCTACACAGGGATGCCCTAAAGAGGTACCTGGGAACCTGCTTAAGTCACCTGAAACTCAAAGCACCCAGCAAGCGTTCGGGACCTGAGGGCTCCCATGGGTCTGACTGACCCTGACCTCTCCAATGGGGCTCCCCCACATGGCCCAGGACCCCATTGCAGCCCCGCCCGGCTGCCAGCGATGGCCCAGCCAAAGGTGCCAGCAAGACAGCCGTACAGACAAAAGTCTTTTAGTACAGGTGAGGCTGAAAGTACTCTTTTTCTCCTGATACCATAACAGAATTTTAGCTGCACTGACATAAACGCCGTTGGCTGAACATATGCCTCTCTCCTGTGCCAAATAACGACCACCACAACTTGGCTTTCCCCAGGCTGCCATGTACTTCCAGAGAAACCTCCCAAAGTATTGGATTATGCTCAACCTCCCTCACCCCCGCCCCAGTGGCATGCCTGGAAGGCCAGATTTCCTAGCTGACAGCCACACTCGTCGGGTTGTTGGGTGTTATTAAAGATGGTGTTGCCATCTCCTCCAAATGGCACGAATGACTCAGAGCACCTCTGCGCTAACATTTTCCATACAAAGCAGTTCAAAACAATTAACTGGGAAAAAGAAAGAGAAAGGCTTACTCTTTAAGTTCGCTGTAAATCGGGAGGACTGATGGGTGGCACACAAATGCAAAAGCAATGGTGGGCAAAGCATACACGGTCTGTTCGGAGAGAATTTCAAAGAAGAAGTTAATAAGTATTTCCTCCAGCAGCACGAAGAAATGATCCTTGTTCAACTACCTCAGTTCCCAACTCTCTGGACTCTTCAGCTGAGCATTGAGAGCCCTCAGAGAAGGCAGAAGACCTGTCAGCATGTATTTAATGGAGAGCAGTGCTCTTTCAATGGGAGGACAAAGCCTTCACGTTGGCCGTGCGAGCACAGTCCTGACTCTGCTCGCAGAGCACGGCGCTGGATGCCATGCAGCTGCTGGTTTTGCTCCCTGGGATGGATTTGCCTGCCCAGCTGCTGCCACCATTACTAACACACCAACATGCGTAAAAGGGACGTATAGTGGGGTCACCGCTACGCTACCCTGCCTTGGCATGGAGAGGGGTGCGCACCCGTGGTGCTAAGGCTGAAGTCCTGAAGAGGAAGCCCATATCCAGACTGTAAGAAAAGAGAAGAGGAATGCAGAACTTACAAATAAATGGATATTTCAAGGTACCAGACTGAGTCCCTTCATTTCCCAGGCCAACAAAAGGGCTAGGAGGGCTGTGGAGGGAACATACTTTTTCTTGGGGAAAGAGAGAGACCATTACGTCACCATGAAGCGCAGGAGGCCTCCGGGGTGGGGTGGGGGCGTGGGGTGGTGGACACTTCACCCCTTTCTCCACCAAAAACCTGAGTGGGTTTCAGTGCTCAGTGTACAGCCAAACTTCACAAATTATCTCAGTGCCCAAGCACTTCCATTCTCCCTAGGGAATGGGTAGGAGCATAGATCACATGAAAACAGGCCCTCCTGCAAGGGCAAAAAGAATCCAACACAACAGGCGGCTCTCCCCAGACCTTTGAGATCTGTGTGCACTGGCCACAGGCATCCCCTTCCCACAGAAGGCCTCCTAGGGTACACCCCAGGCCCAGCAGATTCAGTAAACACACTGGTTGGTCCTTCCAGGCCTGTGCCACATCCTCTCCCTCACTCACAGCACGCTGCTGTTGTGGAGCATGGATGCATATTTCCATACGTCCATGGAGATATTCAAAAGTTGCCTGGACTTGGTTCTGGGCAACTGGCTCTGCTTGAGCAGGGTGGCTAGACCAAAAGACCTCCAGAGCTCGCTGCTAACCTCAGCCATCCTCTGATTCTGTGAAAGTCTTTATCTCCTCCCACACACCAAAGTTGCTAAAATGGCAAACTGTTGGCCTCAAGGGCAGCTCCAGTGTGCCTAATTCAGATGGACTGGTCCTTCCGATGCGCCTCCATCAACTCTGAGGCAAATGCTGGCACTTATTGTAGAAGACTGCCCTTGAATGCTATCTGAAATATACCTAAGCTGCTATTGCACACCAAGTTAACTAATTCTTGGTCCATCACATGTGAGCTGATGGCTACCCCAAAGAAAAGAAAAGTGGTCAGATTGGTTTCTTCAACTGAAGCTGGTAGGATGAATTTAAAAAAAAATTAATTTTTGCATGCATGTGCTGTACATGCGCATTCCCTATGAATGGGACTGGGACACCCTGAGGACCCTGCCCTGCTGGATAAGATGCTGTTTGACAAGCACTGCACCCCGGCACAGCTGACAGGAGCAATCCTCCTGCTCCCACAGCTACAGCCAGTTGCTTTCGCATTCTCTTGGCACAACTTTTCCTGCAGCTGTGTGGCAATGGGGGAAAGCATCCAGCTGAAAGGCAATCACATTTTTGCTGGATTAGCTTTCAACTGTATCCTTTTCCCAGTCTAGTTCACCATATGGCTACAGAGACACATATCCTGTCACAAAGAAGTGGTTTGTGTGCAGAAGGACAGAGGGATTACTTCTGGGCTTTGGATGCAGGAATGGCTTACTCAGCCTCTACTGAACTACAGCCTAAAGGCACAGTTGCAGCACAGATAGGAAGAAGCAGCAGAAAGGAAAACTCTCCCAAAGAAAGCATTTGTTGTCCAGTGGTAGCTCGGGCTGACAGCCTCAGCATTATCTGTTACTGGGGCAGAACAGTACCACAAGGAGGTATATTAAACACAGTATCTCCATAAGACTGGGCAAAGAGACCCATGGTGCCTTCACCACTGGCTCACGAGTGGAAGCATGAAGAATTTAGGAACAGGGGGTGTGGGTGCATATATTGTGGGAATGAAAAATAAGTATAAAAAGAAACATACCTTGGAATTAAAGATAACATACTTTGGCTTACACATATGTTCATGTGCTGAGCTATTTGATAGGATAGATGATGTTGCACTTAGCTCCGATCCATCACAGGGAATTTGAAACTTCTTGTAAATAACCTAGAATAAGAGCAGAAGACAGCTATAATTGCTAATAATAATACTAATAAAAACAAAATATAAATTAAAACATCAGAGAAATTATGAATATCCTATCACGTGACTATCATCCAAAAAAGAAAACAGGCTGAACTTACCACTATCAGGAAAAATACCATGCAGCTTAATGAAAATCCGCTGGTATAGCCAAGATACCCTGAAATAAGTTAATAGGAAATCTTATACAAAATTATTTTATTAGCCATATCTTGGTTTTTACTTCTTTTTGCTGCTCTGTGAAAAGTTTAAATGTATTACACAATTAATATGTATCAAGAGCTTCTGGGCAGGACAAAAGCATGTCCTGTTGGTGTGGGAGTCTCCCACACTGCAAGACTCCTGGCTTTGAGGGAGACCTGAGCTTTGTGCTGAGTGGTTTGACTTCCCGAGGGTCACCTTTATGGCAGTTTAACTAATTTTACGTTTGAAAGGGGCTGTGATAATTGAAGCAAACCTGAAAATGTGCAATTGCAATCAGAACATGACCCAGATTCTCTGACACAAGTCACATCAGGTGAGTAGGGGTTATTTTCTTAAAAAGAAGATCCCAGCAGGACTTCAGTGCAAAAACTTGTGACATGGTTTTAAAAAATACATTGTGTGCCTACTGGCATCTTCACTTCATGGACTCAAACACACTTGAAAATGCAATCCTCTATACGTATTTTACTTCAAAGTCCAATAACTTCAATTAAGCTCACCACTAAAAATTTTGATGCTGATAGAAAAATGTTATTTTTTTGTAATCTCACAATTTGTGAACTTATTTTTACAGACGACAAATTAAATAGAATTGCCTGATGAAATGAAGACCCTCTTAACTATAATCTTTTAAATCGATGTCCACAATTGTATGGATGAAGCTGGTTTATACTCTGTTCAACATCTGTGACAATTTAAGCCTACTTGTTCCAAGATGCTCAAAACATGGATTATTCCTGGACCAGGGAGGCTGCTCAGATTACAATGAAAGCACTTTTTTTAAAATTATAGTTGAGTTGCCAGTGTGGCTGTCAGTGGCATGATGTCTGGCCTCCTTTATTTTATTCCCACAATGGCATTTGGATCTTACCTAAGTTCTTAAGGAGACATAAAGGTAGGATGATACCAAACGTCACTGTGACAACAAGAATCCGTCCATCCACGTACCATGCCCTGTATAGAACATTAAAAAAACCCCATCATGAGCACACGTTAAACCCCCTCTGGTTTTCCTCACACTCAGTTGTCTTCTTTGACTGCTGCAGTTACAGATTCATCTTTGGTCTCCTTACCCTACAAGCTCCTACAAAAGGAGAGATGGTGGCCATATCTAAACTTTGGACAAACCTAGTATCAAATACTTAAGAGCTTTTATAAACATATGCTTAAACTTATGTACGCAATGTTAAATTCTGTAATTTAATCACCAAAATTAATTCAACTTACGAAAAAGATTCTTCTTTTCCCATTAGAAACTTTATGGCAGAAGGCAGCTCATTTTTGACTATGAAGAGATAGCTCAACATTGCTGAAAGAAGAAGAAAGTCAGTTTAGAAAATGCGGGAGATATTTTACGGAACAAGTACAAAGAAGCATCCTGAACCTTTTCCTTCATCAGTGTCTGCTGATAGAAGACCCCAGACTATAACTGACTGTAAACTACTGATCATACAGTGATACAGCATTTTTAAATGGCTGCATGCAAGGTGTTAGCTACAGCTGTACTGAGGAGCGTGAAGATCCCAAGATGGCACTGGGAGAAGGAGGAACCTGGCTGGTTGGCAGCCATAATATCAAGACGTTAATGAGTTTTGTTTTTCAATACCCCTCATCATCTTTACCTCCAACGTTCTGGAGAGATGTAGCTCCAAAGACAATCATTTTCCCTGGGGTACCGAAGACCTGCTCACCCAGCTTTTCATACACCATGCAGCCTGCATGAAAAGAGAAGAAAGGTAGCAAATACAGCAGCAAAAGCAGTGGAGTAGAAACAGTTATGATTCCTTTTCAGCAAACCACCCATCTGTGCAGCCATACCTGCCCTTTGCAAGTAAATAGAGAGCTCTCTTGTAATTACTAGGGCTGAAACTTATGTAGGAATGTTTTCTTGACGTCTATAAATGTTATGGTTGGCTACCAGTCACTTTTGAAATTGAAGCTCTTAATGAGGCTATTACATCCCTTTAATGAGTCTGTCTATACCCCTAGTGACATGTTAAGTTATAGTATCCCTGCACCGGCGTATTAGGTTTGTGCCCGCAGTGACAGTGACGTCGAAGCCTCCTCTCCAGACAAAACTCAGCACAGCAGGATCCAGAAGTCAGCATTGGCAACCTGGCCACAGCAGGCACAGTACCGTGATTCTGCAACTTCACTTGCTTTGACTGAATGATCCAGATGAGGGCAGCCACTGATTTTACAGCATGATTTACAATTTTTAATGATGAAGCCTTAACTTGTGAATTCTCAGTGTGGTATGTTTTTGTTAGGGAAAGGTGTAAATTATAACTAAAACCTCTTTTTAAATACCTGTCAAGCTTGAGAAACTCCTCTTTTAATTGGTTTGTGTTTCTGTTAAATGTTTTTTTCCTTGACTGTGATTTAGGCTGAGAAAAAGACTGGACATTGTGAAGATGGTGAGATACATGAGAACAGACAGAGAAATATTGCAGATGTTACACGGTACAGATTATTTAAAAAATGCAACCCATTGCTTTCTCTAAATTTCCCTATAGCTGACATTTCTGCTTTAAAACTTGTATAAACAATAAATCTGAGCTTAAATGTACCAGCAGAATAGAAAACAGGTTTAGATTTTGGGAACTAACAGGGCACAAATGTGTGCACGATTAGGCGTACATACCTAATTTACATAGGCAGTTGCTACCATTATACATGCTATAACAGTAACTCAAGTGTGTCCAAATTACTTTTTAAAATATTACAGTATTCTTGTGCATAGATAATTTCAAAAATTTGGCTTCAGAGATTGTTACCCAAGAAAAGAGCCTGTTGGACTTCAGAGCGCAGTGACATTTAACACTGTAGGTAACTTCTATTTTCTGTGTTTAGAATATATTTTGCTTACAGATACACTTCTCTCTGTGGAGGAATTGTTCCATTTTATATTATTCTATGAAACCTCCTATGATACCACAAAGGCTATCAGGAATTTCACAGTAACAATTAAGGACAAACTGTCTCCAAGTAAGCTTCACCACAGGCAAAGATTCATTATATTTCATCTGCAATTCTTTTTATAATGCGAAGAGACTATATAAGCTGTCCCTTCTAGCTCACTGAAGACAGTATTTCACAGTAGCAGAATTCACTCTTTGTTGTAAGCTTTTCTCTTCATTTCTCCATTGCCATGACATAAATTCTTGTTAATTCTGGGCTCCTGACCCAAAATATGTCAGGTCTTTCTATTGTGTCAGCAAAGTGACAGAAACCCCATCTTACACAAAGCACATGGCCTCATTTGAGTACTTTTCACCTCTTGCTTTTTACAATTCTACTGAAATGGTATAATAACATCTTAAATTACCTGTTTCTTTTGAACACACCAACAGGAGATATATTGAATAAATAGACAGCAGCGTCACTGAAACCAAAAGCAGCCTACAAAAGAATGGAAAATAAAGCTTACTGTGAGAGCTGAGCAATAACATTGCAATATTTCATGTCAGGTCATATTCCTGCTTTTTTGCTGCCTCTGAAATAACTTTTATACTATTCTGACAATGCAAAAAGCCCTAAAAATACATGTAACTCGCATGCTTTTTCCAGTTCCACCACATCACCATGGAGGTAGAAAACCGTGCATGCAGAGAGCTTTAAATAAAGTAGAATTTAGCAGCTGCAGAGTGCAGCTCTGTTAGTGAGTTACACCACCCCATACTGAAAGAAGCAAGAATAAAGATGTCTTTTCAGATAAGAATTCAGATTTTAAAAACATCTTCACATGTTACCAAAGGGGTGCCCAAATGGCTTTTTATGTGCCTCCCAGTATCCAAGGAGCAGGGAGAGAAGGGAAGTTAAGGCTCAACTGGCTTCCCTTGGAAATAAAGGCAGAAACCAAAGGCTTTTACTGTGTGCAGGCAGGGATTGGTGTTCCCTCACTGATGTCACTCCTGGTCTGATCCATAATTTGACTTCACATAGAAGAATTGCAGGAAGTAATGACCA